AGTTCTGGAAAGACAAGGGGCGCGCAAAAAGGCAAGGGGTCCCTACTGTCGCGACGTCGTTCTCGTCGGCTCGCGATTTGACGATGGAGGGTATGGATGGATGAGATAGTATATACTTCCCTCACGTGAGAAGCGGAAAGGTGGAGGGAGGGAGGGAGGGGGGGCCTTTGCTGAATCAAGTCGACACGTACATCGCGAGACAGAGAGAGAGAGAGTCCCTGCAGGAAAAATAACATTTCTTCCAGGTCGTGCTCAAGTTGCGACTGTGCGGAGTGGCACCCGATCGGAGGTAGACCCCGACTCGGGCGGAATGCGGGAATGGGAGGGGGGCCAGGTGGGAGGGGGTGAGAAGGGAACGACATCGGAGACAACCAAGGGTGCGATGCGAACTTGCGAGACACTTGTGGTTCATGAACTCCATGCGTTGGGCGAGGCTGGAACGGGGGAGGCCCGCGATTTTTTTCTACGGGACACATTGCAAATGTGGAAAGAATGCGGGTTCAGTGCCCGTCTCAGTGGCTGGAGTGCAGTCTTTCAAGTCGGACAAGCGTTCTTTTGAATCTTTATTTTGAATCTCGGTCTGATGGCGTGCTTTGCGTGCCAGTTGATTGAGTCGTGTAGCTAGCTCTTTGGGTTTTGTTTGGTTTCTTACGTTTAGTTGGGAACTCTAGGTCAGTTGCTGGGTTCTGCACGCTGCCCAAAGCGAGGAGAATTGGCAGTGCGATGGGCAGCCAAACCTTGGGCGTCGCGATGGAGGCAGAAATAGGATACATACGGTGACAGTCTCAGGGAGTGGTGGTGTCAAGTTCGAGGGTGAGGGTGAGCCACCTCCATTTTCCAACGAGGCTGTCGGACTTGCAAAGTACGAGTTTGATGTTTGAAGTTGCATGAGTCGCAGCGCAGATGGAGCTTTGGTAGGGCCCGCAAGGCCGAGATGCGGCCTTAAAACCGTATAGAAAAGCAAGCACCTGGCAAGCAACGCCAGCAAGCCGCAGCTGCAAGCACGAGGTTGGGGTGTGAAAGAAAGAAAAAAAAAAAAAAGGAAAAACCTTGGCCTGAGGTTTGGGGCAATGGGGCTCACACATGCATGAGTCGCGAGGGCAAAGCCGAAGGCGTGGACAAAGTACCTCGACTTGGGAATGGATCCAGAGGTACTTGTGCGTGCACGGACCATTGCCCACAGTCTCGCGATAGACCTGGTACCCGATACCTTGTTGTAAGATTGCAATAAAATTTGCATCTGTAATATTGCTGCAAGCGCCCTTTCTCTGCATCCATGGCGAAGCAACGCCCAGCCATGCTTGGGCTAGAGCGACGTCAAGCGGACACAAAAGGTCGAGTTGAAGAGGTGCTGGCTGCTGGTGAGCGGACTTACACGATATTCAGTTCTCTTTGGGGAAAGACAAGTCGCAAAAGGACCTTCTTTGATGGATGTCGACAGAGTTTTTCCATCGGGCGAAAGTTCGGGTTCCAGAGATGGGTATACTGCGTATAGTCCCCAGTGATGGGCCGCGGCGTGGCAAGGCTCGCGTACCCAGTACCTTGACGCGCCAGTCTTGTTGCGGGGGCCTGGTGGGAGGAGTACGCAGTAGGAGGCGACCGACAAACACGCACCATTGATCAGACTGGCAGACCCAGCCCTTTTTCTCAATGCTCTTCCCCCTTCTCCCGTCTCCCTCTTTACCAATGGCTGGCCACTGGCCGATTGGAGCCGGTCTGAAGTCAATGACTCACACGTCGCAAGCCGTCTGTTTGCTGCCGCGGCCCATAAATTCCTGCCAACAGACCGCGAATGCCCGAAAGCAGTGCAGGCGCCATGAAAAATAGCTGCCGTTTTCGCGTTCCTGCCTGGTGGTCATGACGGTCCCTTTTGTTCCTTGTTGTTCGGTCCCCGCGTTTGTGTCGTGTCCTCGCGTCCGGGCGACATGCCGACAACGTGGTCTGGTGACCCTTCTGACAGGTTTGACGGAGAGGCCGTTCGCTCCTGTTGCTGTTCTTGCCGCTGCCGCCGCTTTGCACTGACTGAGCTCGTGTCGGATGTGATCGTCAGTGAGGCCATCAAAGTAGGGGGCAGGCTCAGCGTTTCAGAGCGCTAGCGTGTGGTAGGAGACTGAGAGAAGAGGGTTGGAAGAGGGAAGAAAACCCTTGGGTTGCTGGGACGAGAGGATTGGAAAAAATCATAAAAAGGGGGGAGGGGAGGGGGGGGGGCAGGTCAGAAAGGGGTGAGGATGGAAGGGGGGGCCCAGTCGGTGTCAATCCAGGCCAACACCCCCCAGTGGTTGGACTCTAGACTCCTGGAGTCGTGGTGGGTGTGCTGCAGCTGCCAAAGAAACTGACTGACGCGGCGCTGAGGAGCCTGTTGGAGCCTGCCTGGCTTATGTTGCTTGGGCTTGCCTGGGACAGACTGGTATCCGTACGGAGTATTCTGACTATGGCTAGTCGCGAGACAGATAGACAGCCAGGCGGGCCTGGCACTGGCAGACTGGGAAGAAGGAGGAAGAAGCGAGCGGAATGGCGGAATGGGTCGGCAGGTCGTGGGTTATGGGTAGCGTTTGTGGTAGCGGCACCCGTACGAGGTAGCGCCGCCAGTGGGATTTTGCATTTGGTTGGCGTCCAGATGGTCTTGACACGGCCCACGGCCTATTACCCGGCTGGATTTTTGGAGGGTTTTGGGCTGAGCTGTCGCGGGATGCAGTGCGGTATCGTAGTCCATACTCCGTACTGCGTGGTGTGAACAAACGAATACGCGCCATTCGTTCCTATTCCTCTGTTTGAGCGCATGGCTGGAGCGAATGAGATCGTCGTCATGCTCCTGTCAGATGTGGTTGGTTTCGCCGTCATGTCAGTCTTGTTGCTGTTGCTGCTGAGTGCTGGCCCGTCGCGTCGTGAGGCCGTGGCGAGCAGTGCTGAAAAGAGTGTCGCATTCTGACAAGTGTGTGAAAGCCGTGTCTGTAGTAGGGAAGCGGTAGGTCAAGGTCGCAGTTTGCCCACAGCTCCGAAATGAAAGCGAGGAGGAAAGAAAAGTGCTTGCGATCGGAGTGGATGATCACGCCGGGTTGCGATGACGGAAAAAGTGTGGCCATCAGGGATGGGCCAGGAACCTAGGCAAGCGAGTCGAGTCACAGCTGGCAGGGGGCAACGATAAAAAAGAAAGGGAAGAAAAATATACGGATAGAAGGCAGGAAAGCAGGCTCCGGGGCAACAGAGCACAAGACCAAAAAAAAAAAAAAACAAGAGGATGGCAGCTGATGATGACATAGGTAGGATCCATCAGGGAGGGCATCTCAGCCTCTGTGGTGAAGGGACGTCCAAGAGCTGGCCAGTGGCAGGTTGGGCAGCTGTGAGAAGGGCACGCCAGAGGCAAGTAAAAGGCAAAGCAACGCAAGGAGAGGCAAAGATTCAATCAAGAAAGACTGGAAGGCGTGGAACTGGAAGGGTAAGCACTGGCCAGAATGCATTGTCGCAAAAAAAGAGAGCGACTTGGTTGAAAATTAATGGATTTCACAATGCAAAGTACAGAGACCTTAAACGCGGTGCTGCGATACTTCAGGGGCTGGGGTGGTCACAGCAGGGGTACATGGGGACAGGAAGGAGATAGAATGAAGATTTTCCAAGGCGCTGATTGGGTGCATGCCCTTAGCGTGACCGCTAAGCACAAGCAATGTCAAGCAGGACCAACCGCCACCGCGCACTGGCTGCCTGGGGCCCCTGGGTTGTGTGGCAGGGGGGTGTCGTTGGGGCGACTGCTCAGGTAGGCCATGGCCAAAATTATAAAGAGGCAGGCCTCCCTCCAACCCGCTTGTTTCGAAATTCTTGCGCGGAAGCTCCGACCGACGGCCTTGCGTAGTCATCCATTCACGTTCGGCCTTTCTAATCTTCCTTCTCCACCCCCACTCAATCCATCCCCAATCCTCCAATCACGACTCAGAGATACGATTTCGCATCGTCCTTGTCGTCATCGTCATCGCAACATCCACAAGTCCGATATCCACGATAGACACATCTGCTGTCATCAACCTACACTCTACTTCCTCGCGATCCTTCTGGACAACACAGCTCGCTGTCGCGACTCTTGTTTCCACATCTCGGAAGTCGACTTTTACTCTCTCTTCCTTTCCCTATTAACCACCCGACGAACCCGTCAATCCTCAGAACCCCCAGGCGGTATACCTTCTTAACTGAAAGTGTCCCCCCGGATCTCGTACTCTGAGACGAGAAAAGAACTGGAATACGTTCCTTTCGAGACATATCTTCGTCAGACTTCCCGCGCGAACCCCTTCCGACGACACACCAGGTCGAGAACGAGTCCGTTGCACTCTGTAGACATCGCACGCACCGTCGCCGAATAGAGACACCGTGCTTTGAACCGTGACGAGGTATCCAGAGACGTCGAGTTGATTGCTGGCATCTGGGTCATTCGCGACATTATCGAAGCGACGCCTACGAAACCCACGACCTTCTCGTCGACCTACCTCATTTGATCCATTTGCATCCCGTTCCCGCCGCTGTCACAAGCTCGGCACTGATCGCAAGAAAAGTCGCATCGCAAGATACACGCGCATACCTACATACCTACTGCCCAGCAGATACTGTAGGGGAGACATTTATTTGTTCATCTCCAACAATTGGTATGCCCTCCTTCCTTTTCTCTCCTCTCTTGTCGTGGTCGGGGTGCCTTCCTCCATTTGCCTGCCCATCATCTCTGTCGTGCCTTCCCATCTACCACAGACCGGTGGGGGTGGTTGGCGCCTGTGATTGGCCCCCCAACCCCCGAGCATTATGTTGCATCTTTTACTTCACCAAAGCTTCCCATCAACACAATATTGCCGCGCTTGACCCATTTTCACATCTTTTCATTATCACTTCACAGTCCCCATCTTTGGATCCACACTTCATACTCTTTATCATTATTACAATCGGTTCGAGAAACGAGACTAACTAGCAAGGCTTCAGATCTGCTCTTATTCTCGGTTTCAGGTCATCATCCATCCACCGCAATCATGGAGGCGATTCAGACCCATCCCACGAGTGCGGCGCAGGCTAAGGCTTTCACCGCGCCCGGCTCCCTCTCGTTCCCCGGCGGCGCTCACGAGCTCCCTCCCCAGGCGAACGGCGATAAGGCGGCCGTCAACGGACAAATCCCTGTGCCCAACGGCCAGCAGCCTGCAAACGGTACCGGGGTGACACCCGCGACACCTGCTGCGACGCCTGCCGCGACACAGGGTGGCAGTGGCTTGACTCCTACGTTGCAGTATGTATATCACGAGTGATCTTTTTTCTGCTCAATGAGGCTTATCTCGCCTACTCAAGGAACATCGTTGCCACGGTAAACTTGGACTGCCGCTTGGACCTCAAGACGATCGCCCTGCACGCGAGAAACGCAGAGTACAACCCCAAGGTGAGACAATATGCCCACTCGAGTTGCACTGTCGCTGACTATGACTTAACAGCGTTTCGCTGCCGTCATCATGCGTATTCGTGAGCCCAAGACCACTGCCCTGATCTTCGCTTCCGGCAAGATGGTCGTCACCGGTGCCAAGTCCGAGGATGACTCGAAGCTTGCGTCTCGCAAGTATGCCCGTATCATCCAGAAGCTCGGCTTCAACGCCAAGTTCACGGACTTCAAGATCCAGAACATTGTCGGCTCTTGCGATATCAAGTTCCCCATTCGCTTGGAGGGTCTCGCTTCGCGCCATCACAACTTCAGTTCTTACGAGCCTGAGCTGTTCCCTGGTCTTATCTACCGCATGATTAAGCCCAAGATTGTGCTCCTTATCTTCGTCAGCGGCAAGATCGTCCTCACCGGTGCCAAGGTGCGAGAGGAGATTTACCAGGCCTTCGAGATGATCTATCCCGTGCTTCAGGGTAAGTACCTTTTCTTAATCTCCGGTCTTCACCTACTAATTATTCTTTAGATTTCCGCAAGGTCTAAACAGACACTTGAGCACATGGATAGATCATTGACCCAGTCGATGTACTACCACCATACACAAAACCACCGACTTTGTACGACTAGACACTTTTTTCACGATACCACGAATTCTTTTTCGCACACAACCCAAAAAAAAATCGAGCGTCCGTCACCTGGCAACATGGTCGTGACACAATCATCGACGCACGTTCTGCTCACTTCATCTTTTTCGTTGCATTGCATTGGCGTTGGTACAGGAGGTAACCTGGGCCGGAAGTTTCCGGTCAGGTGGTTGATTCAAATGAAAAGAATAAGATTTCTCAATCCGCGGCACTACATAGACTGCTCGTGGCACCGTCGACGGCAGATGCGCAGGTCGACCTTGCCGTTTTTAATGGACTCGACTTAGATGCATTGGGGTCTCGGACCGGATGGGGGATGATCAACGGGGATGAGACGGAGTTGAAGTTGCCTCCTGGACAGTAGGTCGGGAGGGACTGCTGGTGGAAGGGGGGAAACCGGTTTTGCAATGATCGTTGCCTAGTTTCAGGCAACATAACCGATCACTCAAGTCTTACTCTACGTTCAGTCTGCGAGTTTGATTCGAGTTGACAAGTCGGCATTATCTTTTAGTACAATGCCAACACCCGGTTTCTATTACATGTCTGTGCCTGCCTTGTGATGGTGACTAGTGACTGATGTATCTACGTACTACTGTCGAACGTACTCATTACACCTCGTAATAGACTTGAAACTCACAACTCCTTCAACGCGAGCTCTATCCCCTGTGGCTCTTGATATTACTTCATGACTGTACATTTTAAACAGCTTTATCTCTACGGTCGCTACATGGTATCTACATTCAGCATATACTTACATCAATGCGATTCCGTTGGGTGGATGGATGGGTGTTAATTCTTCCGTCTACAACTTGGCTTGCTCCTGCTTCAGCAAGAGACCAGGTATGCCTCCTCGGCTCCCGTCCTCCGTCATGATGTGCTCGTACAGATCCGTCACGTCCGCCTTGCTCTTGACCTCCCTCCACCGCCACTTCTCGGTAAAGACCTCGTCGCCGCGGCCCTCGAGCACGTTTACGATTTCGCGACCGAGCACGGGCAAGAACTTGAAGCCGTGGCCGCTGCCGCCGGTGGCGACGAAGAGGTTGCGAGCGGTGGGGTGGTGGCAGACGAGGAAGTCGCCCGTCTGGGTGTCGGTGTACCAGCACAGGCGGGTGTGGACAAAGGGGCGGTCGTGGATGGCGGGGATGGGGACGATGGTGCGGACTGCTTTGCGGAGGGCGGCGACGCCTTCGGCGGGGAATTTGAGGTTCGGGTCGGTGAGGTGGGTTGCCGGGAGGGAAACTGTCGACTTTGTCGAGGGCGGGGTCTGGGGCGAGGGGTGGGGGATGGCGGTCGGGTTGAGGTAGCCGAAGGCGTGGCGGGCGACTTTGAGTTGCAGGCCTGAGGGGGGGATCATGAAGAGGCCGGTGCTGAAGTTGAGGGTGACGGGCATCTTGCGGAGGACCTCGAGCTCGTCGGGGGTGATGTCGATGTAGCCTACGGCCTGGCCCGTGGCGATGGCCTGGCCGGAGAGGTCGACGAGGGCGCCGGTCCAGGCGCCGGCTGCGACGACGACGAGGTCGGCGGAGAGGACGGAGCCGTCTTGGAGGGTTGCGCCTGTGACGGTCGACTTGTCGGGTGTGTAGTTTAGGCGGGTCGCGACGCCGGACACAAAAGTGACACGGTTAAGAGCCACGACTTTGCGCGCGAGGTAGGACATTGAGGCGCCGGCGTCGGCCCAGCCCGCGAGCGGGTTGATGTAGCCCCATGTGCCCGGGGCCTCGGGGGTGCCGAGGTAGTCCTTGATGGCTGTGGGAGTGGGCAGCTCCTTGATGATCTTGTCGCCGTCCTTGCCTGCCAGGGAGACGACGTTGTTGTAGCTTTCGCGGACGTATTCGAGCGAGGTCTTCTTGGCCTTTTGCTTGGCGTCGGCGTTGGTCTTTGCTGCTGAAGCGGAGGAGGAGGAGGAAAAGTACGATGTCGAGGCCGTGGCGACGGGGTCGGCGACGAGGCAGAGGCCGGACTGGCTGTAGCGGCCCTCTGCGCCGAGGTCAGAGGGGTGGGCGGTCTTGCGCCATTCTGTCTGGGCCTCGGCGGCGAGGGTCGCGTAGGCCGGATCGGCGTAGTCTGCGCGGATGATGCGGGAGGAGTCGACGGAGGCGGCGTCCTCGCTGGGGCCGGGGATCGGAGAGCGGTCGAGGACTGTGATCTTTGTGGAGGCGTAGCGTGGGCGCTGGGCGAGCTCGTAGGCCGTGGTCAGACCGAAGATGCCGGAGCCGATGATGAGGATGGAGGAGGGTGCTGGCTCTGTCGCCGCTGCCGCCGCCGGGTCGGAGGGCATCTTGTGGCTCTCGTCTGGTGTTGGTGTCTGTGGATGGAGTTTCGTATGCTATCGGAGCGGGTACCCGGCGCGGGAGCGGGAGGCAGGAAGATCACACGGGGTAAGGTAGAGGTACTTTTGAGAACCTTTGAAGCCAAAAGGGCAGGAGAGAAAACATTACCTTAAGAAATGCGACGGACAGGATAGGACGAAGAAATAATAGTGCGGGTCGATCTCTGGGAGTGGGAATTGGCGGTGCGGAAAGCTCACCGCACGCGGCCACACGTACGAGGGAAGGGCGTTATCGGAGGTCAAAATTTTTTCTTCCTTTCCTCTGCAGACTGCTGGGGGAGTCTGGGCTAGGTTATCGAATTGGGTGGGAGGTCGGTAGCGTCTCCCGACTCCCGGGGGTAAGGTAGGTCTCGCGTCGACTTGCTCGCTGGAAATGGCGTTGGCGGGGTCATTTCATCGGTGTATCGTAAGTTTTTCCTCCACCCCGGACGAGGGACAGACCTGGGAGTTTGTTGGAGTGCGGGCTTGCTTGGCGGGGGCGCCGACCGGTGTCTTTCTTCTCCCATTTTCTGCCTTCCCCTGCGACCAGGCGTGGGATGGGGGGGAGTCTGGAGGGGTCATCATGTAAGGTCAATGGTGTTGGTGGGGGGTTCCGCCAGTTGGGAATAGTCGGGATCGGTAAGGTTGGTTTGCAGGTTGGCCGACACTTGCATGAAGGGAAAGGTTTGGCGGTGGGTTAGGTGTTGCGGCAGTACGAGACGGACGTGGTCGCGTGGTTTTTGAACCTGTACAGGCTTGGCTTTTCCGATGTAAGCGGCGGATGAGTGGATATGTTGGTTTTCTTCTCACTCAAGAGGAAAATGGCAATTGACGATGGTGAGCATAGCAGAGCGTTGATGTTCCTGGACTCCCCTCGGCGATGAGCGATGGTTGACGGAAGATAATCGACGTCATCCTGGCAGGCAATGTGATGGCGGGAAATGAAATCAGTGCGCTGGGCTTGTTGGGCTGAGCTCAAATAGCCGCCACTGTCCCCCAACTTGGATCAGGAGACTGCCTTCTTCCCTGTCTTTTGCAGTCACGATTTCAGGCAGGCGCCCTCGCGGTCTTAGGCTCGCTCGTGCGGGGAACTGTCATCCAGCAACATCAGGCCCAATGGTCTAGAGGTATGATTCGCCCTTCGGGTTTAAAAACCCTTCAGCGTAGCTTGAATGGGCGAGGCCCCGCGTTCGAATCGCGGTTGGGCCCCTGATAACTTTTGCCATTTTGATGTTTTGGTCATCTACATGATAATGATTGATCTATGACGGTTTAAGCGGGAAAATACTTCGATATTTTGCGAGGCTGAAGGAGACGGAAGCAAATCAGTGAGAACAGCAGGCAAGTAGCAGAAATCAGGCACTCCAAGCCTTAAGCTGGACCGTGTCAAATAGAGGTTTCTCGTTCCACTATTGGTTGCCATGCATCGCCTGAGCACGCACAGCAAGCGCAACGGCAGGCAGGTCTAGTCAGATATCACATCACCACAAGGCTGACTTAATCATGACCGTTGGGCTTCTAAACAAGGAAACGTTGATGCAACCTGGACCATGGCGAGCCCAGCCCAGCCCAGCCCACCATTCCTTACCTCACGGCTCTTTGTTTTGTACCAAGACCGTATGAATCCCATGGCTCTTCCCACCGCCCACACCGTGCGGGGTTCGTGGTCGCATCCCCGCTTTCAGCTGTCCCACGCCGTCTTCCCTGTCTCAAACCACCTCTCACTCACCCAAATCTTCCTTCACAAACAAAATCCCATCACCCAAAAACAGACAACCACATAATAAAAAAAAGATGGTGAGATTCGGATCGCTAGTCTTGTGTGAAAGACTATCAAATGAGCTGCAGCTAACGTGTGTTTGACAGGCTGCACAGTTGACTCAGGAGCAAAGGGCGCAGTACAAGGAGGTGTTTGACCTCTTCGTAAGTTCTCACTCACCCCTCCGAGCTCTCTCCGTCACTTGGCTGCCTCAATGCCCCTCACTCCCCCTTTCCATCAGGCTGGCAGCGCATTGTGTAGAGCTTGCGCAACAAATTTCTCAAACCTCAAATCAAGCATCTCTACTAACTACTTGCCTGTGCAAAATAGGACAAGGATGGAACAGGTTAGTTTTTATGTTCTCCCATGAACCCTTTAATATTTTGGTTTGCTTCGCCTCCCGCCACCGGCAAACTGGGGGGTCATTGAAACTCGACTTGAACCCTCTTTGGCAGGATGAGCGTCGGAAGAGAGGATCTGGCTTAGACCCCTTTTTTTCCATCTCATCTTGCTCTTTTCATTTTATGCACTTCTTGTTTGATATGCGAGACCTCTATTACTTTTTTCTCCATCCCATCAACGGAAATTGACATCGTCCCTGCAGGTGACATCACCGCCCAGGAGCTTGGCGAGGTGATGAGGTCCCTGGGCCTCAACCCCAGCGACACCGAGTTGAACGACATGGTCAACGAGGTCGACGCCGACAACAACGGCACCATTGACTTCAACGGTGAGCTCGAATCACCTCCGCCCTCCGCAAGACCCCTCTTCCATATGGAACATATGCTGACGGACTTTCCTCCAGAGTTCCTCAACTTGATGGCGCAAAAGGTGCAGGTCGGCGATGCCGAGGAGGAGCTCAAGAACGCTTTCAAGGTGTTTGACCGCGACGGCAGCGGCACCATCTCGGCCGAGGAGCTGCGCCATGTCCTCACCTCGCTCGGTGAGAACATGACTGCGGCGGAGATTGATGAGATGATTCAAATGGCCGACAAGGATGGCGATGGATCAATTGACTGTAAGAGACTTCACGTTTCCCCCCTCTCTGCCTCACTATTGGGTGACTTGGTGGCAATGCTGACTCTACATTTCGATAGACGACGAGTTCGCCTCGATCATGATGAGAGAGTAAAGAAAAGAAAAAGGGGGTTTGTGGATTTCTTGGCGGTGATATCCATCGTTCAGTATTTTGTTTCTTTGGGTTTCCGGTCCGGTTATGTGGGTAGAGCGAAATCTGCCTAGTTTCTCTTTGGGCCTATGGGATTGGTCTCAATATCACGATACTCTCACGAAGTGGGATCTTGGAATGATCGACAACAACAACAGCTCGTGTCCCATTTTTGGTTCTCGTGATCGGTCTCCGTCAAACCTGGCGTGCCAGTGGTCTTGCCATTGAGCGAAGAAAGACTATTTCATATGATTAAGGTAAGTCTGTACTGGAGTCGCGTCGTAACGCTACATGTATTGGAGGATGTTGAATACCGACCTCGCTTTGACTAGCTTGTACTTCTCAGGCTACAGCGGCGCATCATGGCATTTCTCTGTCCTAGACCTGTCGAAGTTCAATAGGCATTGCTCAGCAGTGAGATCTCACAGAGATACAAAAATACTCTGCGTTGATTATGATATATGAATTCATCTGTCTATCTGACTTACAGGGTGAATAATAGTATGCATGTCGATCAAGGATTTCTCGACTATTTAGCAGTGATGCATCGACACCCTATCACTTCATTTCAAACCAGCTCAGTTCCGAGAAGCATTTTCTTCCTAAACCAAGAGCTGGGCCCCTTTAAGCCACATCTTAGTACAAAGGCCCTCAAGCTACTGGTGCATCTTGCTTTTACCCAGCATATTCCGAACTGATTTGGCCTCGGCATCGCCCCCTACTGATCAGCAACTTTCCTCCGATTGTTTCACGGAACCTTGAGAATGGAATTGTCCTATAACCATGTGGTCATTCTCAGTGAGTGCCAGAAGACCGAAGGGCGGGTGTGCTGGATATTCTGAGGATAGGTAGGCGTAGTGACCACCGAGTTCGATCCCCAATGTCAAGGAGGAATGACTGCTGGCCAAGTCCCCCAAGTAAGATGGAGATTGTCTCCCTTGGTGATTGAGCCTTCGCATGAGCAGGTGTAATTCTCTCAACAAGGCTGACCATGAGCGCAAGAAGCTGTGCGTTCTCATTGCGTTCTTCGTGTTTCAATGCGTTTTTCGAAATTTGTGACAGGCGACAAGCACGGTGTTCTCGAGCTCAATATACCAATGCTGGTGGACTACGAATGCATGGACCGTGTCTGTTCATGGTCCTTCATACCACAATGTCCGGCCAAATCGGTAGGAGAGCTAAAGCGAAGCCAGTCAGCACGTTGTTTCCGCGTGTGTTGAGTGATGAAGCACGTCACATGTACTGTCAGAGAACAACATCTGGCATTTCTGTCTGATCCTGCCGCCGCAGAAGCAGATATGGAAGCCGTATGGCGTGGCGGTAGTCGAGTAGAAGGCTGGAGTAGAGGCTGAAATAGAGGCCGTCCGAGAGAGATGGTCAATTTGAACGCCAACATTGAGTACAAAAAGACTGGTGATGCAGTAGATTCTGAGTCTCATCTTGAAGGCGGATATCGATGTCGGCACCAAGACTGAACATGAAGAGCCACAGATAACGCCGGTCTCAATATCTGATGTAGGAACGGCTATTGAAGGTGTCAGCGGAGGATTTCTGCACGTAGTTGAAGCCAAGGCTAGAACTAGAACTAACCATAGCAACCAGGATTGAAAGCTCCCGCCAATAAACTTCTCTTCTTTTTCAGAGGCTTCCATGGGCTTTGGATCAGCCAGGCATATACGCAGTTTGGCACTGAGGCCAGCCGGTCGGGAGTATAAAAGCCGATCTCCTGTCCTCGTTTGAAGCTCAGACAGACAGTATTACCAGAGGATAAAGTTTGGCCGTTTGTCCAGTATTGCCAGGGGATAGCCACCAGTCTGCTGCTATACTTTCGTCTACAGTTGACCAGGCTTGAGACTAGTGCGGCTCAGTCGTTCATCGGGCCCTCTTTCTCCCTCCAGCTTATTCATTTCGTATCCTCGGAAAATGAAAACGGATCATGACGCTCATTTGAGCGTTTATTACCAGAGGATAAAGAGGTATTTTAAAAGTACTGTTAAATATAAAAAAGGGGGTTAAAAATTAACGAAAGTAAGGGAAAAGAACCCTCTTAACCTGCCGGCGCAGGAAGAAAAAACACAACACAAACCAAACCCAAAGGGTAAAAACAGAAAACACCAGGGATGGCGGCTGGTCCAGGAGTTGTCGGTATACCACGACGGATACGAAAGGGGGGAGGAAGGCGAGGAAAGGCCGAAGCCACTGGCGGAGGGTGTCGCGGAGGGAGGCGGGGCGGTGGACGTGGATGATGAGGACGGGAGCCCCAACACTGGTGCTGGAAGAGGGAGGCTGAGCGGGAGAGAAGACGGGGGGGTGGTCGGTCGAAGGGGTGGAGGTTGGTCGGTTGTGGGCAGAGCCCACAGACGTATCGATTGTGAGTCTTGGTCGTGTCATCTATATAGTGTTAGCATAATGTAGAAGAAATAGACAAAGTTGTTATTGAAGCTGTCTGCAATCATTGCCTTACCTTGATTGTTCTGACGTGGTTGGGGAGAGAGAAGAGTTCACGAAATCACAACAAGCAGAAAACTCCTAATACACCAAGGCCTCATGTCAGAGGCGTGAGCCTTCCTTCTAAGAAGTTTTGGGCGTAACTTCCTCTGCAGGGTGCTTTCAAAAAGAATACAGGAACGATGTTATCGACTGGAGTATCATTTATTGTTTGTAGACTGCTACCTGCCTCCCGAAAGCTCATCTATGACCGAAATCATTTAAGAACGAGGGAGTATGGCCCTAGGAAGGCCAGCACTTATGCCGGAAACTACCCATGATCCGTGCAGGCTACCATTGTGGCTCTGCTTTGATTGGAATCACCACATCCTGATGTCTTGGTTGATCCCAAAAGGAAGCCGCGTGTGGTGGCTCGGTTCTCCATGACCAGACGGCTTGATCTTGATGAATTAGGAACCCCATATCCATCCCGTTTATATCCTTCACTTCCACGACAAGTTTAGCCCTCCATTTAGGGTCAGGGGAATCGTCTTGAAATCCAATCTGACCCTCCCAATTTCCCCAAGGATTCTTGATACGCTCTTTCTCCCATCTTGAGTATTCACTCCAATGAGTGACCAAGATGCGATATTGGAGGCGGAAGAAGTCAAAGATGCTGTAAATGAATTGAAGAAACCAATTGTCGAAGTATATGGTTCGTTGAACAAAACTTTCCCGCCACTCCATGAATTCATCAATGTTGTCTACCCGCGGTAAAAGATATTCCCTGCTTGGGGGTGTCGGTCCGCGTTGAGAGGTTGTGTGGTACATTAATCTCATCCAGTCGGTGCGGGCTATGAGCTCGAATGGACGAGTGGGACCTCCATGTCCTTCTTCCTGGACGTGCTGGGAAAGAACGTCGGTCGTGTTGGCTGCGTTCATGTTGTTGAGATCTATGGCAGCGTCCATCTTGTAATTGCACGGGTGCGATGTAGGGCGTCTTGGTCGGATGCGGTATTGCCGTATACGTATAGGAATATGTGCCAGGGAAGGACTAGTGGTATCGGTCAGTATCAACGTCTTCGAAAGGGGTTCGGGGCAGGCGTTATTACGAGAGCACTGGGACAGAGAAGGTGATGTGGTGAGATATCAAGAGTCAGGTTCTGTCGCAGGTGCATCCTTCTTTATATTCAAGAGAAAACCGCATTTCCATAAGCTACTGCCTAGATTACATGCCGCACCATGACGTGTCATCCACAGCGGTTCTTCGTGGCTTGAAGCATCCGCAGAAGCTGTGAACTTAACATCTCATCGCCATAAGCAAGTAGACCTGTTTGGTGCAAGTGGTAAGTGATGAAAGTGCTTGGTGCGGTCACTCGATCTCGTGGCCGTCTGAGGACTCCCTCGCGGGCTTTGGTGATGTCCCTGATCCAGGGTTTCACTCTTGTGGTCCATGATTGCGCTGACTCGCCTGTGCCATTGTTTTCCCAAGAGCAGATCCCACTCATCGCTTCGGCCAATGATGATCGCTTGCACGATACTCAAGACGTGGACCTCTACATCAAGTCTTGCACACGATGGTGCTACCAAGTGCCCACAATCGCGCGAGAAATCAATTCCAGATACGTGCAGTCTATATCTACAACACCATCCATGGCTACGCTCGGAAGGAACACTTTGTCAGACATGACGGTCGCCAGGATGCTGCTGCCGGCAACAAGTGGAGATAGACCGCAGAGTGAAGTACAACAAGGTGCGAAGTCAGGAAAGTGTGGCTCAAGTCGGTCAAGCCACAGCAGAAAGTGGCAGTGAGGAGAACAGTGCGAGACTTCCGTCTATCTTCTTGCACACAGTGCACGGCGCGACAGGTCCACGGACACACTTACAGAGCGCTGCGCTGAACTTCATCTGCAACTTTACGAATACAGTCAACTGCGGTCTACGACCACGCGCCTCCTGAACTCGGCAGATTCTCATCGATTCTGACTATGCGACAAGAAGCTTCACAGCTATACCGGTAGCGATGTCATCGGCAAAAGACCTCGTCGAATTCCCCGACGTGGAGGCGAAGCTCCAGAAACCATCCAAGCAATCCGCGTTCGAGAAACAGAGAGCCGAAGCCGAAGCAAAGAAGGCCCGCGAGGCTGCCGAGACCGCCGCAGTATACCAAGACTTTGTCAAGAGTTTCGACCACGATGACGATGACGACCCGAGAACCGGCCGGTTTGGCTCGATGCCTTCACAAAGACCCCAGCCCAAGGTGGCTGGGTTCGGCGGCGCTCCGTTGGGCGCACCTGCACCATCTAGGCGACACTTTGGCGCATCCAATCCCAAGAGCGGCCCTGGTAGTCTAGGTCCTACTCCGAGCTTCAAGAGCGGTCCGGGAAGCTTGGGACCTCCGCCTGGCTCGCTTGGAAGGAAGAGGGGCTTCGACGCATACCGGCAGGAGAGGGACAGAGATGGCAGGCTCGGGTTCGAGGAAAGGGAGGAACCGAGTTCGGTCGCCAAGGTCTTCCACAACAGTGACGACGAGGACGAAGCCAAACCAGACTCGAGAGCTGAGGAAGTCGCAGTGGCTAGACCTACGTTGCGTCTTTCTCAGCTGCCGCCTGGAACATCGCCTGCCTTCATCAAGTCATTGATCCCGACAAGCCTTAATGTTGAACACGTCAAGATTTTACCGCCTATGGGACCTTCGGGCACGGAGAAGAAATGCGCCGTAGCCATTGTCACACTATCGCCAGACACGCCAGCAACAGAACTGGATGCAGTCGTGAGCTCGCTACAAAATCGCTACCTGGGTTACGGCTGTTATTTGTCGTTGCACCGGCATCTATCCTCAACGGTGGCAACCGCGACAACATCGACTCTGGGTGGTACATCCGCCGGATCGCAGCCTTTTGGTGCCAAGCCTGTATCACAGCCGACAGCACCCGGTAACGCGACAACACAGCACGCCTTCCATCGAGGCTTTGCGCCGCCAACTTCGTATGGCCCAAATATCGGTGCTTCAATCAATCGGAGCAGTATTCTTCACGTGCCTGTCAAGCCTCCAAACGATATAAAGATGGTACACCTCATCAACAGGACCATCGAGTCGGTTCTCGAGCACGGCGTGGAATTTGAGGCTTTGCTCATGAGCCGCCCCGAGGTTCAACGGGAGGAAAAATGGGCTTGGATTTGGGACGCACGCAGCGAAGGAGGTATCTGGTACCGATGGCGATTATGGGAGATCGTCACAGGAGCATCTTCTCGGAGTAACAAGGGACGGTATCTACCGCTTTTTGACGGCAGCCATGCCTGGAAAGCTCCAGAGAAAGGCCTGCCATTCGAGTTCGTCACAGAACTCGATGAGTTTGTATCCGACTCGGAGTATAACTCCTCGGACGACGAGGACTTTGACGGGGAAAACCGCGAGAATCAGACTCAGGGGCCTGAAGCAGAGGCTACCTTCTTGAACCCACTCGACAAAGCAAAGCTTACCCATCTCTTATCACGTTTGCCCACAACTTTGTCCAAGATTCGGAAAGGAGATGTCGCCCGAGTGACAGCGTTTGCGCTTACGCACGCAAGCCGGGGTGCCAAAGAGGTCGTCGACATGATCGTCTCGAATGTCGAGAAGCCCTTTGCATTAACGGCGGCCAACCCAGAGTTTCAGTCGAATGGCAAAGAGAAGGGAAGACAAAGGGGCGATTCAGAGCCGCCTGAAGCTGAGCCGGAAGGGAAAACCGAGAAGGAGGGCCCTGACACCAGCGGTGCAAGCCTTGTGGGCCTTTACGTTGTCAGCGACGTACTATCCGCCTCCTCTAGTAGCGGTATTCAGCGTGCTTGGCGGTATCGACAAATCTTCGAAGGAGCACTCAAAGAGCACAATATTTTTGAGGGTCTGGGGCTGATGGCTGAGAAGCTAAACTGGGGCCGACTGCGGGCTGAGAAGTGGAAACGAAGCGTCGGTCTAGTCCTGACCCTTTGGGAAGGTTGGTGTGTCTTCCCAACGGAGAGTCAGGAGTTGTTTGCCAAAACTTTCGAAAACCCGCCATCTTCAAAGACACAAGAGCAGATTGAAGATGACGCAGCCAAGAAGGGTAGATGGAAGGTGGTTGAGAAGTCCTCGATGCCGGCCGCCGATGTTGCCACAACGAGCACCCTTGATCAGAGAGCGCCAGAGTCAACAGCTGACAAAGAGGTGGATGACGTCGAAGGCGAACCAATGGATGAGGAGGATGTTGCCGGTGAACCCATGGAAGAAGACGATGTCATGGGCGAACCAATGAGCGAGGAGGATGTGGAGGGTGAGCCCATGGTGGATGATGATGTCGAGGGGGAGCCGATGGAAGAGGACGCAACCGAAACGGCAAAGGATCAGTCACCGTCAGGCGAGACCAGCAGCAAGGTAGAAGGAACGGCAGAGGCCGCGAAGACTGACGACGCCCCCACTGTCGGACGTTTGCAATTATCAACCCAGCCGAAGGGACAGCCTCGGAAAAGGATGAGAGCAGTGGACATGTTTGCTGACTCTGGGGATTCGGATGAGGGAAACTAAGCGCGCGTGGCGGACGCAGGCGCTGGTTCTTCAAGTAGGCCAAGACGACACCAGGGGCGAGACGGCGGGCTTGGACGATTGATAAAAACTGCTCACCCTATGAAGATCCTGGGTTTGTCTGAAGAATAGTATTGTAAACGCATGTGTCTTGACTGGGCCGTGAGCGGGACGGGGTATATGTGAGAGGGGGATATGGCAGCCGTCCTGCTTCTGCAGGACGGGGCGGTCCAAGTTTAGGCTGCCCGAAGCCGCTTAGAGAGAGCGCGGCATGGCAATGCATAAAGGGTGATGGGCAGACAAGTCCATACGGATGGATATATGAAAGGGATGAGATATGACGGCATAAGTGAAGCGTCGGTTGGCGGGTTCACCTTGGCGTGGAGGTGAGGGCAGTAATTGACGAGCCGTCTACATATTGCCTCTACAGAGATCTCTCCCTTCCTCACTTTCAGCAACATATATCTAGCCCCGCGCCACAAGTTGCGGCGGAGAATGAAGAGAGAAGCCGCCTTAATGCCAACGACACAGGCACACAGGTTACATCACAAAGTGTCCACCCACGGGGTACCTTTTTTCGGAGCGCTACTTCTGCACAGCCATGGATACGCATTCTTCGTGTGAAGCGGTTTCTTGTTGGGTAGGCTCGTAGAGAGAGGGCGAGAGAGCGAGAGAGAGAGGGGTGGTCTGGTTCGACGACCTTCTCGTTGTGAATTTTTGGTGGTGCTTGACCGGATCCGGCCAATCAAAACTTGCTCACTTCCCTTGCCTCTCGAGCCTCTGACGGTGGAGTATGTAGTCGGTTGTTTTTTTTTACTTGCTCGCTCCCACCCTCTTACGGTAGTCCTCGCCCTTTTTTCGCTTTTCTATCTGCCCATGTATTTGTCCCCGCGCTCGAGTTTCCTGATGTAGAGAGCCTGGTCGTGGGAAAACGAATTCATTTATGGGGGTTCTCGGAATGCTTTGAGCCTTGGGAAACCTGTGCGCGCGCGATATCCGTGCGGGTTGTCGTTGGCTGAACCACTAACACGGGGAGGATGAGTGGACTACTGAACCGTGGCGAGACCTTTCAAGACACGAAATCGGATTCAAGTCGTACATGAGATCGATGTTCGATGTACTTTGCACAGTAGGCAATATGAATTTCCTGAAAAGTTCCGACTTTCTTTTCGTAGGTGACCTGATTCCCGGCCTGGAGCCTGGAAGGGGGGGAGCCTGAGTCTGGGCCGACCGCGGACTCGGCACCGACTCGCGGGAGTGAGAGGATGAGCCCAGTCAGACGGTCAGCCGTAATGTGTGAGTAAGTGTGAGTGTGAGTGCATGTGTGGTCGCACAGGATCTCAAAAGTCTGGACCCTTGACATGATCTTACAGTTCCTCTGATGATGGAGCTTACAATCGATATGGGGGGGCACAACGACATGTCAAGATGCAAGAATGGCGTGAAGAAGAAATATGACCCTGAGGGCCTGCTCCCATATTCTCATGTACTGTGTAAAGAGACAGACTGGGTTACAGAGAGTAAAGGGAAAACGGGAACTCGGTACTAAACGGCGATCCAGAGTTAGCTTCTTATCAAGTTGGGCAGCATATCCCGGCAGAAGAAGGGAGAGCACGCGGCTTATTCTCATGGCCGGGAGCGTTGTCTTGCTAGTCAGCCACATCTCTCTCACGTCTTTCTTTATCTCTCCCTTTTCCGATGCGTTGCGGCATGTCTTGTGCTGATAGGCATTCTATCTGGTTAAGAAGCCCACCGACAGTGAGGGAGATAGACGCTCGGGACGCTCCTGCGGCGAACGGCATGTCAACGTGGGAAGCGCGCCGCGTCCAGGCCATAGATTACGGGCTTGAGGTAAAGTCCCAACCGCGCCCGGCTTGCCGTTTTAAGCAGACGCAGAAATTCCTGGGTTGGTGGTGGTGCTGCTGGGTTGGCCCTGTTATCGTGTTGGATAACGTGCCTTAGAGTTGGTTAGAAAGTTGCCGTCAAAAAAAGCTTGCTCCGAACAAGAGTGAAGAAGAGAGATGGATAGTCAGGACCATCTAGAGTCATCCCATGTTCAAGTCTTATGAGGCATTGAGGTTGGCAGTGAGGGACCATGGACATGACTGGGCTCGGATTGTAAGACGAGGTTGAGGTGGCATGGCCGGAAAGGGTATCTGTGTACTGTATGTACCTGTCCAGTGGTTCTGGGTGTACGGACAGACATGGCATGCCGTCTGTGATGAGAGCTGCAGACAGACCCCTCTTCCCGCCCGGGCTTTCATCGCAGATACTGATGTAGGCAAACTTGTCACTGGGGCACTGAGATTTCGGTATCTGTACGGCATTCGTACCCTCGTTGAACTATCTTTGTCATCCATGCGTCGAGTATCCGAGCAAGGCAGAAAGTGAAGCAGGCGGCGGACAGCGAGCGAGGCATGTAGTAAACCCCCCCCGCACGTGGGGCTGTTTCGATGCGCTACCGGGATGCCGTCCCTCACCTGGCTCGCTCACCCCCCTCCCGCCCGCCGCGCCCCATCCATTGCCCACGCCCACCGCCGCTGTCCACTACTCGTGCTTCTCTTGGGCGTCTCCTCTTGCCGCTGCTGGCTGGGGGGGGGGGGGGCTCGGAACTGGAACTCACTCACCTTCACAGGCTCACACTGGGCTGGACTAGACGATGCCAAGGACCAAGGTAGGACATCGAGCATAGGGGCCGCTAGTGCTGGTCAGGGACCCAAGGCTATCCGAGAGGAGGCAAGTGCCTACCTACCTGTATGAGGTGGTTCAATGGTTGTACCTCTTGCTGAATTCGGGTCGGGGGAAGGAGTGTTTTGCTGAATTCAGATCGGGAGAAGGAGTGAGGAAGAGAGAGAGGAAAGAAGGGACTTGCCTTGACTGCTCTTCAAGTTACCTACCCAAAGGTACCTTAACTCGACTCGAGCAGGTGCTGCTGGTGTTGACCGTGTTGTTCCTTCCTCAGTCGCAGTGGACTATTCGTACAGGCCAAACCCAGTCTCCCCCGACGCCGACGTCCTTTCCACCTCAAACGGTCCACTGGGCCGTTTCCTGTTCCCATGGACCGTCGCTGTTTCTGCCCTTTGCTAACCCGCCTTTGTGACTTTGTCTTCCCTGACCACCGACCACCGACCACCACACACCACACACTAAGCACTACGGATACCTTACCTTGGGTACCAGGGCAGCTAAGGTAAAGGTAGCAACGATCCCACTGCTTTGCCGACCCGGCGCTTCTCTCAGAGTCCCGTCTACTTCCATTTCATTCAATACCCAGAAACCTGCCCTTCCTTACGACCCCCCGGCCTTTGCGCGCAGCTTTAAACCTCTTCACGCTCGAAACGCCGCTCGTTTCTCTCGCCAATTTCCAGCTCTTGCAATCCCGCATTTCTCACCTCGACATCGTTACCGATTTGCTTTGCGCTGGAAGCCCCCGACGACTCACCTTACCGCCGGCGCCCTCTCGATCATCACATGGCCTTTCTTGCCCGCTGAGCCGATTTCACCCATCGTCGCCGGATACATAGCTTGCTTGCCTGCGTCGCAAACAAGCCCACCAAAGAGACCGACCAGCAGCGACCGCGAACCATAGGAACGACCAGAACCAAGACTCGACGAACGCCGCCGCCGCACCTTGAGAGCTGGCTCCCGCCTTCATGTTCCACGCCGCCGCTCACTCCCACCGTCCGAGGTCTATTGGGGCCGAAGCCTGAGCGAGCGACATTCATCGCAGCTTTTACTTTTGCAATTACCTTTTTAGAGAAGCCCGGAGACACTACCGCAACTTGGAAGATCGCCAAAATCTCTACCTCCTCTCACGTATCACAGCAACCTTGAGAGCCACCCCCACCACAGCCCACCATGCCGCTCATCAACGGCCAGAAGATGGCTTGGTAAGTCGCAGCGTCCTATTCCTTCCGTTCCTGTCCTCCATCATTTCGTCTTCTCCTCGTCGTGTTTTCCTTCGCCATACTACGGCCATGACTGGCGATTTCTGTGTGCATCGATGGAATCCCGCATCCCGCATCCCGCTTTCCGCAGGACCCTGAGCTGACCACTTCACCCTTCGCCCTCTAGCGAGCCATGCATCCGTGGTCATCGCTCCACCAAATGCACCCATGCGAATGAACGCTTGATGGTCCCCGTTCGAAAGCCCGGCAGACCTTTGAGCACATGTCCTCATCCACCCTCTCGCGGTTGCGGCTGTGGTAGTGTAACGGCCGCCATCCCGAGAAAGCAGAAATGCGGCTGCGGTTCCAGCAACGCCGGAACCCCCGCAGAATCACCCAGTGTCATCAAGGCAGAATCGCCGGCGAGCGATGTCCCGCCAATGTCTCCGACCAAGGCATCCGCCGCCTCCTTTCGCATACAAAAGTCTGCCCCGAAGGCGGCCAGTCGCAAGCAGTCGTTCGACCCCGTGAACCTCGAGAGGATGGATGCCACCAATATCAACATACTGCCGCCATACGACATGGCCCAAGCGAATCACATGCCACAAGCCAACGGTGGCATGCCGGGTATGCCCGCACCTAGAAATGGGATGGAGTACGGCGGTATGACCATGATGGGCGGCGTTAACGGCGGTTTCCACCAACCCATCATGTATCCAATGTTCCCACAGCAGATGCCTGCGCCCCTGTTCCCCCCGGGAGCCGCGATGTCGATGCCTCAGCCAAATGCCGTACCATCAGCCATCAACACGCCACAGACTGCGACAACGCCTACTCCGATGGCAGCGGCGTCGAATGGGGGATCTTGTTGCTCAGGAAAGACAAATGGGACGCCGAAGCCCGCCCCTCCGCCCTCGTTGACGAGCACCAGCACGGGTGGCTCATGTTGCTCAGGGCCAAGCAAAGCCGAGGGGAGCTCTACACAGCCTTCTAGTGTCAGCTCGAGCCCCAAGACGCAAGCAAAGCCTAAGAAGGGTGGTTGTTGCTCTAGCAAGGCACCTGCGATAGACACAAACGTACATCACATGTCGAATGGCCATATGTCGCCGTCGAGCGCCATAGCCATGTCGCCTTTCCAGACACCTACCGCCATGCCCCAAGGCATGTTCAACTCATACTTCCAACCAACAATTTTCACATATCCGCCTCAATACGGGTCTTGGATGTCACCGCTACAGCCTGCACAGTGGAAGCAGCAGATGGAGGCGCAGCAGTATGGTCAACCAATCCCGCCGCCGGCCGCATACGGCATGCCGAACTCGCTTTTTACCCCAGATGGTACAACCCCAATGATGCCCGAATCAACATCACACATGTGCAGCTGTGGCGACGGCTGCCAGTGTGTGGGCTGCGCAGCTCACCCTTACAACGATGCGACACAAGACTACGTGCGATCTGCATACACAAGTATGCTGGACGACTCTTATGGATTGACGAATGGTACGAACGGCACGAACGGCACGAACGGGCACTCGGAGACGGCATCGGCCAACGGGACTGGCGCCCGCGGAATGGATGCACACACGAATGGCGAAAACAGCGGTTCTCCTGCTGGGCCGCAAACACCTTCCGATGGAGCCTCAGTGTTGAGTGAAGAGCAGGCACTATCGGCGAACGACTTCTTCTTCGTGACATACCCGTTCAACGGTGACGGATGCGCTGGCGAGACGTCGTCATGTCCATGCGGCGACGATTGTCAGTGCCTCGGCTGCTCGATACACAATAACTCGCCCATGCCCGAGTCAGGATGAGGGGTGTTCGGGTGTGTCGAGCTGGGGTCCGCAAAGGATTAGGTTTTGCGGAATGTTTTACCCTCGACGGTGGATACGAATGAGTCTTTTGGAAGGTCGGCATTGTTCAGCCGTTTTCGAGTTGCATACGCGGTGTTTGGAACGATACCCTCTACTGGCCGCATCATAGTACTGATAGAATAAATACTCGATCATAGAACGTTTGACGATCCGGTGATTGAAATCGAAACAGAAACTATTCAACACTTCCCTCGCGTACCGTTCACAGTGAAGTCAAGAATGAGCTGAGAAATACCTACACTGGGCTGAGACAGCTCGAAATTGACAGACGATAGAACCCGGGCTCAAGTGCCGTAATTCAGACATTACTTTCGGAGTTGTCGTGGGCAGGAGAGGGGAACTCGGCACGGTGTGTGCTGTCTTCCGGCGCCGAAGTTGGGGTACCCACTGCTCCGGTCCCCAGGGCAGCCACGCCGCGAGACCAGGGGAGTCTCCAACTTTTTCCTTGCCGTCAGGAGGCACGGACGTCGACTTCTCGTACAACATCACCGCAAACGACCAACCTTGCAACTACCGTACCGTACTTTGATATTTAGCACCATTACAATTCCTCACCTCTCGAGCTTCTTCATTACCTGCCGCCGCATAATTCACCTTGGATAACCAACCCCATTCGGCATCCTCCGAGTATTGCCACCCCCCTTCCTTTGGGTGCGCAGGCCAATTTCGGCTGATCGGCTTCACCGTCGCGGCAGATTCTCACAGCCTGAAACTGTGGTCAAACAAAGAGACGGCCACGATTCGACGTCCGGACCAGAAATCCTTACCCCACACACCTACCACCTCACTTTGTCAAGTTTCTCTTTGGGGAGAGAGCAGTCGCCATCCTTGTCAAGAGATATCTGACGTGCGACCTTGCTTGTCACATTTTGGGGAACGAACCCCAAAAGCAAGGAGAAAAGCTTGTTTTCCGAGGTTCTTTCGAGAAGGACGTGTCGCAAACAGGCAAAGAGGGGCCTTGCGTGTGGTGTGTCAACGAGGGTGCCTTATCGTGGATCTTTTCATCTTAATCTCATCCCAACTTGGCGCATCCTTGCTCGAGAGCGTAGCTCACTCATTTGAACGTCAATTCGTCCTCTGAAGTATGGCCGGAGACGACGAGCGCTCGGGTGAGCGGAGGGGTGAGGAGCGGAGATACGGACGGACCCGCTCCCGGTCAAGGTCGCCGAGACGGCACCGGGACGAAGTGAGGCGGAGGTCACCCGTCGGCGAGGGCGGTTCGCGTCGGGAGCGGAGTGTGAGATCTCCCCGCGGAGACGACGGCGGCAGCCGCCGCGACCGCGACCGCGATGACCCGGAGGATCGGGATTCGAGACACAGGCATCGACGCCATCATCATCATCGTCGGCACCGGGATGGGCCGCGTGACACTGCCAGCGGGGGCGGCACTGCTTCGAAAGAGAAGAAGGCGGCTGCTGCGGCAGCGTCGTTGCCGTATGAGGCGCGCCAGCTGGGCAAGTCGGAGATGGAAGTGTTTCGGCCGCTGTTGGCGTATTATCTCGACTTGCAGAAGCAGAAGGACATTCGCGAGATGGACGAGAGGGAGGTGAGGGGTCGATGGAAGAGTTTCGTGGGGAAGTGGAACCGAGGGGAGCTGTCGCAGGGGTGGTATGATCCCGAGATGTTTGTCTCCGCCAAGGAGAGGGTGCTCGAGGTCGGGATTGAGGGGCTTCCTTCGCGGGGCTCTGATGGGAGGGGGAGAGAGGAGGCGGTGGAGAGGAGCGAGGAGAGAGATTACAACCGGGAGAGGACTGATGAGGAGGATGATGGGGATCGTAACGACGAGGAAGATGACGACGACGACGACGATGATCTTGGACCGAGGTTACCGCCTACCTCGCGAGGTACCGGCCAGCGCTCCGGCCCCGGGATCCCCAACATGGTAGACCTCTCCCTGCAGCGCGAGACCCTCGCCGAGGAAGCGGCGCGCGACCGCTCGGCGCGGGCGTCGGATCTCCGGCAGGCTCGGAAAGAGGACAGGAAGCTGCAGCGGGAGAGGCTGGACGACGTCGCCCCGCGCGCGGAGGCGGGGACGCGGGAGAGGCAGCTCGAGAAGAGGGCGGCGGTCAACGAGAAGATGAAGGAGTTTCGGGAGAAGGGGTTAGGTGGGGATGGTGGGGTGGCGGAGGTGAGCGAGCAGGAGCTCATGGGCGGCGGTGATAGTTTTGCCGAGTTGAAGGCGATGAAGGCGAGGGAGGAGAGGAAGAAGACGGAACGGGAGGTTAGGAGGGAGGAGATTGCGAGGGCGAGGGCTGCTGAGCGGGAGGAGAGGGTTAGGGAGTATCGGGAGCGGGAGGAGGGTGTTATGAAGGGGTTGAGGGAGCTGGCGAAGCAGAGGTTTGGGTGAGGAAGGGGGAGATGTGAGTGTAAAGGGGGAGGATGTTATCATGGTCTGGATCCAGGCTGGGTAGATTGGCCAGGTAGTATATGTATCCGTTCGGTCGGTAGCTGGATGAATGCGCCCTATCTATCTTCGTCATGACTTTTTCGGGAGGTGGCTCGGCGGTCATGATAGGGTCGGGTCGGGCTTCAGGTGAGAGCGATGATTTACTAGAGGGGATGGTAGGTGAATGGGGCGGTATGGATAAAGTTGCTGGCTTGTCACGCTCGTCTCACTCGTTTGAACGATATGTAACGAATACGTGCGGGTTGCTAGGCTGAGATAGACATAGGAAGAGGCGATGTCCTTTAGGTTATACTTATTAGTTTGCTGCGTTCGTCTCGCTTGTCTAGATAGTATATAATGAGTACGTGCGTGTTGTTGGGTCGTGGACGGAGTTATGAGATAGTTAATGCGAATCTCTTCCGGGGACGTAAGTCTCTTAGTATGCCTGTGTTTGAACTTCCTTGGCTTGAATATAGAACTTCTTGGGCCCCAACATTTTAGACAAATGTGTGTCCCTTGAATTGGCGCGAGTCACTTGGACGAATGTATTGTTTTTCAAAGAAGCTAGACCTCCTTGTTGAAAAATATAAAGAGTATGCATTATAGGTAGAAGTCTGGTTCATGGTGTTATACAACCCCGCCTGTACCTTTAATAAGAAGACCGTTTATATTGAAAACTTAGGATCCTTCGATTCCGACATGGCATGTGATTTGTTAAGAGTAGCTAGGCTATTGTTGAATTGGTAGTTCTAGAGGGGTAGTGGTCTCGAAGGCTTTGGTCTTGAGAGACCCAGCAGAGATGCTTCATGGGCGAGCTCATGGCCTTTTTCCTACTACAATGATACTCGGTAGCTCGTCATACTAGCTCATCACCCTCATCTGCACGATGTGTGACGACCACGTCCGAGTCGCTGGATAATGGGCGTTAGCAGGGCCTTTCTTTGGTTCTTGTCTCTTTCAATGGGGTGATGGGGGTAAGCTTGAGTGAAGCAGGCAACCCGAAAGTATATGGTAAGCTCGACCTCAGCACCATCATCAGTCTCACTGCTACTAATCCTCCTGTCCCGGCCCATTGCCTCTGCCCGAGAGTCGCTAGATGCCGCTGGCGTGAATCCTTTTATAAGATAGCAAGACGGGATCGTGTCAGAACGAGGAGATCTTCATCTGAACCTCCCGGCCACCAGGCCGAACCTTCCTAAGTCTACGCATGTCATAAGGTAGCCCTGTTACAGAGACGTCAGGAAGACTAGTCGATAGTCTTGTAGTAAATAGTAGTTAAACGTGCGGTCTTGAAGCGCAGTCTCTTCCTGCTTGATGAAGTGAGTGAGTGGCCAGGAGTGAACACAGCTTGACATCGTTAGTCGCCCTTTCTTAGTGCCAGAACCGAGCTTTGCTGAAGCAAGGCTTCTTTCACAGCCGCTCATCTTCTGGTGAAAGGGAACGAAGACTTTGAATACCGGCGGTGTGTCTCCTTTTATGGCTGGTAGGCTTCTTTGCACGTGGTCCATGAGCGATATCTCTCAGACAAATTGGTGCCGATGAAAGGATGCTGGAGGCATAGAGAAACCTGAAGGCATAGTTCGATAGATTTGATCATATCCTTATGAGACTCGTTTATCGAGATCAGAGAACTCACTCAGCACTTCATATACACTTAGGAGATGAAGTGCCAGCGCCTGCTTCACACTGTGTTCAAGCCCACCAATACTTCATTCTTTTGGTTGGAGATGGAGGACTGTCTCACACTGTACCCACTTCACTTTGTCGCAAAAGAAAAAAAAAAGATGTCGAAAATTGCGACTCATTTGCGATTGACCCCTCTACACCCCGCATTCATTCAAGTAAGTTGCTCTCAACCTTCACCATGTCCCGACCGTAACTGACGCTCTAGCTAGACTCAGCAAGTGAAAGTATTCTCACAGAGAGAAGCTCGTCACATCATTCTTTCCCGGAGTCTCACAGAGAGACAACCTAGCGCTCAGCTCATCACAAGGTCTCTCACTTGGACCTGCCCCTCTTCAACCAGGGTATCAAGATACCTCTCAGTCGCTGCTCTGGGACTACACCCACCACCACCAACGCACTTCGCAAACAATACACACGCTTCATAATGAGCCCAGTAAGCGACGTCGCCGACGGCGACACAGGCGACCTCTTCGCCGACCCGGAGGACTACTACCCGCCCACCCCGCCACCCACCTCGCAAACCCACACCCTCGCCTCGGGCCGCGTCCTGACTCTGCACCTGGTCGGCTACTCGCCCACCGAAGCGCACCACCTCTGGAACGGAAGCCGGGTCGTCTCAGACTACTTTGAGGCGGACCCGTCCCGCGTCAAAGGCAAGACGGTGCTGGAGCTCGGTGCCGGTGCCGGCCTGCCGAGTTTGACGGCGGGCATCTTGGGCGCAAAGCGCGTCGTGGTATCGGATTTCCCGGACGCGGATATCGTCATGACGATGCAGAAGAATGTGGACGAGGCGGGGGATCTGGAGGGGGTCGTGGTGCCCAAGGGGTATGTCTGGGGCGCGGACGTGAAGCCTCTGTTGGCGGAGATTGCTTCTCCAGCCGAGGGGGGAGAGGAGAAGTTTGACGTGCTGGTGTTGGCGGATCTGCTGTTCCGGCACTCTGAGCACGGGAAGCTTGCTGATACGATCTGGGAGGCGCTGGCGAGGAAGGAGGGGAGCGTGGCGTATGTGTTCTTCACGTCGTACCGGCCGTGGCTGAGGCACAAGGACCTGGCCTTCTTCGATGTCGTGAGGGAGAGGGGGTTGCTTGTCGAGCAGGTGTTTGAGAAGAAGATGGAGAAGCCGCTGTTTGATGGAGACCCGGGCGATTTGGAGATTCAGAAGACGGTGAGCGGGTTTGAGGTGCGGTGGCCGAGGGAGCTGCTGGAGGAGAGCAAGGCATGAGGGATGTTGGGGATGTTGAAGACGTTGGACGAGGGACGGTTAGTGTCTGCTGGATTGCGTTATGGGATCTCTGAGCCATGGGCGAGTGATTTTCTACGAGGAATGAGCATGAAGGAAGAATTGGGTGGGCATATCTGGACTGGAATAAACAAAAAGCATGGGATACAAATGAAAAGGACACCAAAGAAATTCTCTACTGAGGATGATATCATGAAAGAGACATTCAAATGGACCTTTGACAGAAAATGAGAAAAAAAGAGAAAGGAATGGAGGGGGAATACTGACCTTATAGTCCACGCCCCTGCCCAGATTCGAACAGCGCGCCCCTCAGGCCAGCACGGCTTCATTGGAGTATTTTTTTTAACATCTCTGCGTCAGAGTGTAAACCACCCGGCCAATCCGGATGGGTGCTGGTGACAGGAATGAAGTTGAGGAGATGTAAATAGCCTCCTTCGACGAAAGACGGGAAGGAGGGAGGAGGGAGGTAGTAGGTGGGAAGGTACGGGTGGGGCTGCAAGACTTTACACCGGGAAGGCATCTTCCACCTGCCTCCTTCTCACTTTCCTCGTAGACTGCAGCTGGAAGGGGACCTTGATAACCATGGCTCTACGAGTTGGAGCGAGATGCTTTCAGCATTGCATGGATTTGTTGTCATTGTGCTGAAATCTATGCTATGAAAGACTTGGACCTGGAGAAGGGGGATCTCCTGTGTCCAGCCTCTTCAAGCTGACCATCTCGACCTTTGAGACTATGAGGCAACTGGCTCCGGAGTTCGAGATATGATCTCGAGAACTTTACATATGCCGCTCTCTTGCCAAGGGCATGACACCAACATTCAATTTTTCTATTAACCATTGCCGTCAATTTCGCATGGTGCGTCACAAATATCACTAGCCGCATGTCTACGAAAAATGTGGCTCACATTCGATCCATATGGTTTGGTTAAGAAGACATCTAGTCTTATATCAGCGCCAGGATTTGAACGAGTTGGCCGCTCAAATCAGACAGACACCGTCAGGCCACCCTCTACCGATAAGTTCCAGTCATTCTAGACCTCCGGCCCCTTTGTTACTGGCAAATAAGGTGCTAGTAGCGAGCCTGAGGACTCAAACTGCCAGCAGGTTATGAAGAGGCTACGAAAGACTACTTGACGATCCAGAACCAGAAACGTACACTGGCATGTGCCCAGAAGACGACGGCCAAGCTTTCGTTCGAATTGCGGATATTGTTCTCCGAGTTTGATTCGTCATTGCGAACACTTGATGGACAAATCTACACTCCGTAGATCCCCCCCCCCCCCGGCTCTGCGTTGGTACTCACCTATGATTCTTTTATATTCTATCGCCACAGAGTATCACTAACGAATACCTGCCCAACAAAACCGTGAGGTTGTTTCTCATATGACAAGAAGTTCCGTTAACCGCGATTGCGCCGGAGCTGGTGCTGACTGGGATATATTACTGCTGCCTGAGGTTTGACGATGCCTACTGCGTCTGGCTACTGTGAATCATAGAAGAGTCATACCTATCGACGAACATAAGCTGCAAGGCTGACGAGAGCCCATGTCTGAGCTTCGAACTTACTGCCAGCGTTCAGAATGGTCCTCCTTCTTGAGGCGAAGCATAGCCGGATGTTCTTCAGTTGAAGTCAGCGGCCAGGCCTTTTGGGAGGATTCAAGAGGGAGAGCCACTAGTCTTGTGTTTTCCCTTCCAAACCTGGACGCATCAGCTCCGAACATGTTAATGAGGCTGAGGGGGAACACCCATGGCCTTTGTTTTCAATATGGGAGACGATCCTGATGATTTCATGGCATCACGCAGGAGGAATGATCTCGGTTGCCTCTGACCTTCTTTTCACGGGCATCTACGAAATATACCAACGACAGGCCCTTAGGCCTCGGCATACGATGACGGTCTGGGCTTGAAATCTATTCCCAGAGAGGTCTATAGGCCTGTTAGTTTTATATCCGCTGTCAGAATAAGTGAATGGCGCCTGATAATCTCTCGCAGTTCATATTTACGGGGTAAGATCATAGGGAAAGGTCACTACGGCACCAATATGTCGACCAAGAGTGACAGGATTCAAGTTAATCTTCCTATTGCTCCAACCAAATAGCAAGATCGCATGAATTATGAAGACTGCAGAACCTATGCTTGGAACCCGACATCACTACTATATCCGTCGCCGCAAATATATCTCCACGGAACAAGCACAAATTTAGGCTATGCCATGAGCATTGATAAGGTGCTACACATCGAGGAAGCATCACTGCAGAGTACTCTAAGCTCTAGCCTTGGCGTTGGAGAAAGCCATGTTACGACGGAACGCCCGCCGATTATCGGGATCTCGATAGTCATGATGGAGGGGACCATCCAGCGCGCAAAGCTTCGGTGATGGGACCGATTGTAAGGGTTGCTTCTCCCGGCACTTGCGGGCAGGTCGGGTGTGTTTAAACATTTCGGGAGTCCAAGCGAACGGGTCAGCCAAGACGAACCACGGTCTCAGGTAGCCCCGTGCTTGAACCTTTGATCACTGCGCTCTGCCATTTGGACAGCTTGATGTTTATATCCGTAATCGTTGCGAGAGATGGATGATGGGACTTCTGGAGTTTTGCCCGCCCTAAGCTTTTTTCGAGCGATCCTATTCAGACGTCGGCTTTTATTCCGCGTCCGCGAGTTTGTGGTCCGCTGTCCTGCGCTTCGAATCTCAATATCGATTTGGCTAGCCATGTAGCTTCCCGGATCAGAACGGGAAGAGCTTGAGATAGGCTGTAGGTGACAGGGTAATGCTTATGCAAGACTCTAGCAGAGTTCTGGTTGGAAAACCTTGATCCACCGGCAAGTTGGATAGCAGCTTCAGGCGCGATAGAGTCCCAAGGAGGTCAAAGGGGGAGCTCCCGGCCGGAGTGGACACGAATTCGGAATGGAGGGGACGCGAGAGGAAGATGGAGCTTAGCTGGTTTTGACACATTGGCGCCGAGGTTCTCCTCCCCCGCTGGACGTTGAGGAACCTTTGGTTGGGGGTCGTAAATGCCGGGGGATTGCACAGCGACGTGGGGTGGACGTGGAGAAGCAAGGCAGGAGACGTCGAGGAGGAGAGTTTCGAGTACATACGGATACGGGGTTACTATGCATTATACTCTGTACAGATAGCCTATAGATGTAGTAGGTATTAGCATGAAGCACAAAGGTTGGAGACAAAGTCTTTGTCCACCGATGTGAAGATAGAGGGCGATGAGATGGCTCTAGTCGAAGCTGCTGTTGTGCAAAACGGAGGAGCGATGGGAAACATTAAAATGGGGAAGGACAATCCGGCGACTGTGGGGCGGTCGTCGAGAGCACGGAGGCAGGAGCATGGGGCATACCTTACGCAGTAGAGAGCACAGACCTTGTCACCAGCGCTTACCCCACACTTTGCACCTTCCAGGCCAAGTTGAACGGGGAAGGCAGGCACCTCAGACTCAGCGCAGGTGCGTCCGCTGCACTTGCCAGCTGCAACTTCTTACATGAATTGCCATGAATTGGGATTACTGAGGCAAGAAAGTTAAGAGACTTTGAAGTGCAAGCTGCCTAAGGTGACTCCTGCGTACTCTGTACTCCTTCCTGCCTAGGTACCTGTCGTGCCTGCCTCTCCTCCGCATTGAGGTGGATGCCCTCCCAATTGGCATTGGAGCTTGGTTCCCATCCTCAGAACTCGCCCATTCCCACCTCCCACACCCACCCTTTCCCTTTCCCGCCATTTCACCACACCTCACGCACAACAAAACTGGAACAATCCACCGACCTCCCTCTGGCTACTGCAAGCTGCAGCCATCGGGAAATTTCTCAACTGCAAGGTAGCTTGGAGATGGGATGTCACGTTCATGGAAGGGTCTCCAATACGAATGGGTCCCCGAAAATTCGTCGCAATTTCCCGCCAGCCAGAAGGCCCCTTTCGAAGTCGAGAGAAAGACAGACCTGGACGAAGGAGAAAGAAAAAAAAAAAAGAGGGGGGCCCGAGCCTGGTCAAGTGAGCCAGCGGAGTATCGGCCGGATGCTTGCCGGGCGTGCCTCAGAAAAGAGTAACAATATTTCACGAGAACGACAAGAAGCACGAGGAAACTGACGGATATACCCTTCCGCGGCCCAAGGGCACAGAATGGTCTGACAGGGTTCAGCATGATGGATCGACTGAGCACACACTAATAATGGACGGAAGCATAGCCAGACATGCATGCCACAGGTATGGCTTGTTGTTCTTGGGGTAATCAATCATTAGAGGCAATGTATCTTTTCCCTGTTCTGTTCTTGTCTCCCCCTTCTAACCTTTGATGCTCTTGCGTTGCAGTTGCACCGAGACACCCGACTGCGACTCTTGTGCCCGCTCCTCTCGTCGCTCGCTACCTAGTCTCGACGGGCAGATGGGCCTACGTGGTACGGTGTTGGACCACCAAGTCGCACGCCATGTAACAGTCCTGTGGCTGATTTGTTATTTTATGAACTTATTTTGCCTCTACAGCTTTTGGAGCTTGTTCGGGAGGTTTACGTTTTACTAATCCCCTCTTCCCTCCGGCAAGCTCCCGTCCTTTCCAGTGCGCGTCTCGGACTCCGCATTTGGAGATATGGAGCTGGGTAGCTTTTGCTGGGAGGTGAGGGTATGTAGCTGCCCAAACCCCAATGTCCATCGTGCAGGGATGGTGGCCGTCGCTCTGGAGTCCCAGCTTCAGATACAGATTCCTTTGAAGCTCATGACACACAGCAACCGGGGGTGGGGGTTGGGTTGAGCTAGGCCACACAGGAACGCACCGGCCCAGAAGCAGCAAACCGAGCTTTGCCTCGTCTCGCCTCGCCCGATTCTACAACAGCGGGAAGGTGAAGCTGATCAGGGCCGAGAGCCCGGGGGGTTTCGAAATGGACAAGATCGATCATCTCTTCTCACTACCCTGGCACTCCTGGCACGCCGCACGCCTGACTTCTGCACGTTCAAATACACTACGGACTACTTGGCCTTGGACAGACGGCGTCGTGTGGTTTCTCCAAAAAGAGGACGAATGAGTGGTCCGTTGGCGATGTGGCCGTCTCATCTAGGGCTCCCTGTCACGATTGGCCGCTATTGCGAAGCTGCCATTGGCGCGTCTTGAGACCAGCAGTGTCCCCGGTGTGTATTCAGACGCCTAATGGAGAAGCACCCATGATCCCCTCCCGGCGTCAGTGCAGCACAAGGCAGCTTGCACGGACACGTTGACGCAGAGTCCAGGAAAAGCATGGCTTGCTTGTGTGCCAATTAGCCTGGCTAGGTACTCAGATGCAGAAGAGGCAGAGATATACCGACGTGTGAGTGCAAAGAAGACAAGAGCCAATCAGTTGGTGATGGTCTGGAATGAAGAGAAACAGCCGTGGTAGCCCAACAGCAAGCCGCAACGACAACAAGCAGATTGGAGTAGAAGCTTGTTGAGATGAGACGAGATTCCGATATTTGTTTTTTTTTTCTTTTTGCTTTAGTTTGCGTCTTGGGATCTTGCCCGCTCACCAATGGATCCACGGTGCAGATGCAGATATAGCCCGCTCGACAGCAGATGACGGAAGTGCCTTGGAGTTATCCGTAGGTATCTGCTTGACTGGATTGCTTGACTGGATCATCGGCCTCCAATGGCCCTTGCCGACGAGGGATGATTTCATGGCTGAGCTCCCATTGGCACTGGCTGTGAAGCTCCCCGCCCTGCTTCCCCCACCACATGCAACCATCTTTTAGGGTGGTTGAACAGGGCAGTCCTTGGTTGAAGCGTGGCCCAGCCGCTACTTGACTAGGTCATCCGAGGAAGGTCTCTTGTTGGTGTGACCAAACGCAAAAAGATACTTCACACATGTCAACCTCAAAGTCCCCTTTTTAACAATTGAGTCTACGGATACCTGACTACGGATGCCCAAGGCCACCCAGAGTGAGGTGAGTCTCAGAGTCTCAATGCTGCTGCTCCAAATCATCTCGCTCGCCCAAGAATCCTTCGACTCCTTTCGATTCTCGATGTAGGTAGACATCATACTCGGGTCAGATACCTTGCGCGCTTGTCACCCTTTGCCCTTTTCTTCTGACCTTTTTCCATCTACTTGCTACTGATGCATGGTCTCTTTGCCGGCTCCGGGATCGAAACCTAGGGATATCCGAACGGAGGTATGGGAGGCAAGACAAGCAAGGTACCTTTGGAGATTGGAGAGATTAGGAAGGGCAGCGGGGTTTGGCTGAGGTAAGCTACCTTGTCATTGGTCGGGGATGGTGGGATGGACCTACCTATGCTCGTAGGTACGTAGATACTTGGGTACGTAATAAGCTACCTAGGTAGGTAGGTCAGGTAAGGTAGGTACTGTGTAAGGTGAAGGAGCACCGGGAAAGAGCGACCAGTGATAGACGCTACGAGTGCGGCAGTGGCAGCGGCAGTAGCAGCACGAAGCAGGAGCAAGGCACCTTGGTGCTTCTCCAATGCGGAGAGAGAGGAGACAACCCCAGACCCCAGATTCTTGCCTGGATTTCCCCCATTCAACGGAAGCCAATTCTTTCTCTCCTCATCACTCTCTCCACCTTTTCCCACCCATTACCACCACCCGGCCACCACCTCACCACCACCTCACCTCACCTCACCTAACCTCACTCACGGGCAACCTCACATCACACCTCTCACAAAATACACTTCACTTCCATCACTCGCCAGGCACCTCACTCACACTCGCACACGCACACGCACACGCATACGCATACGGACACACGCGCGCACACTCTCAGACTCAGACTCAGACTCACACTTTGGACACGCGGGCGCACTACACTCCCTCCCTGCTTCTACCTACCTAACGCATTACCACCGCGGCTTTCTGCCTCCTCATCGCTTCACGTTTCTCAATTCCTCCTCCTCCGCCTCCGCTTTCTTCACACCTACCACCTCACCTACCTTACCCGCCTCCTCCTCACGCAAAGGGCCGCCATCATCAAACTACGTTACCAGCTCCATCTCCAAATCGTCCCCCCATTGGCACACGCGCCGGTCCTGTACACACGACGTATCAAGCATTAATGTTGCATGCGAAAGCATCCCTCCTCCATTCATCTTCCGCGGCACTCCGTTAGATCAGACCTTCAATTGTCGCTACCACCACCTCAACTTTGAACAGCCGGCACACCAGCCAGCTCTTCTACCGACCGCCTCTCACGCGACATCTTTCGACCTCCAAAATTTCCCCTCCCGATACACGTAGTATCTCCATCTATACATCAGACTCGCCGCCTCGAGTACCGGTACCACAAAGCTTTGTAGTAGCGCCGATCATATCCCCTTACCTATCCAAACATTCAGCATTATCTCCTTGTCGCACGCGCGCCGCAGACAGCCGGCATCTCCGTGTTCCCCCTCTTCCGCCGCATCCCAAGCTTAAGTTTCTCAGCTTCCAAGCTACCTGCCTTAGCTTACCGAGACAGCTCCAGCCTCTCTTTTCCGCGCTTCTGTCTCTGCACACGTTAACGTCGACGTCGGCGCCTCTCTTTCTCATCGGCTACTGAGAAAGGTACGCCGCGGCTCAGCGTTTCCCTTTCTTTCGCTGCTGCTGCCCTGCGTTCTGCCTCTTCAACTTCTGCCGGGCTTCGCTACGACTTTGGTTCGCCCTACGACCTAGTCGCGTCTCTCCTCATCTTTCTCCTCTTTCTCTCACTGCTGCTCTCCCCTCCCGAGAGTCTCCTCATCCATCAATTCCCCGCCTTTTGCTCTCCCACCCCCTCCCTGCCAATTCACTTCGACCTCGCTGCCATTTTATCCAAGGTTATTGTTTGAGCCGAGTAACTACGCCTTGGTTGTTCACGCTCAATCTTCGCATGCATGCTTGTTTGTGTCCTCAGCCCAACGCACAAACATCCATACATCTCCTTCATACTCGACCTCGCTCTGCCTGTATCCGTCGTGTCACTCGTGGTGCCGTGACACCAGTACTTCCCTTCTTCCCCAAATCTTCTCCTCCTCGCGCCCAATTTTCCTCGCAACTTGCCCACCCTACCTATCACCACTACAGCCGGGACATCCCACTCCGAATCCCAACTCCTCACTTCCCTCGCGCGTCTCCCGCATGCTTTGCGGTACCGGTTGATTCGAGTTGCAAACGCCGGCCGCCACCGCCCGTGGACGCTTACGCCTACCAAGAGGCATCTGAGACTCGCTCACGCCAGGCTTGCATGGAAAGAGACGAAAACGGGGGGCTAGCAGAGGACCGTTGTCAAAACAATTCTCTGTTGCTGCTCTTCGCGAGACCCTGAAAGCTGTCTCTACAACAATCATCTTCATATCGATACACACACCGCACCCCGCAAAGTATCCCTTTCAAGCCCAACTCTGCTTGCTCCGCCTACCTTACCTCCTCCATTTCCCCCACTTTCTCGTGCTGTGTGACCTCGGTGGTCCTTGAGCTATCCTATTACCTAGCCGAGCACACGGTACCCTTCTTTTCCCCCTTTACCTGTCGCTCCTTTGGGTAGCGTTTGCACAAAATGATGCCACTCCAATCCATAGAGGGGCAGCCTCATGGAGGCTCTGGCATAGCTGGGGAAAATGGTGAGGCCCGGCAGCAAAAACCCAAGACGTTGCCGTGCAAGTATTGCAGCAAGCGCTTCAGGTAAGTCGGCTTCCCCTCCTCCTTGTTGCAAGGCCCCCCGACTCTCCTCTCTCGATGATT